TAAGTGAAGGAGCAGAAGAGTGAGAGAGGAAGGAAACAAGGGAAATTAACAAGAGGTACGGGCAGCCATTATATGAAACTGTTAGAAAGAGCTTTTATGAGAATAAACTGCTCACTAAGCGTTTAATTTCTAAATCATCAGTGAAGATGAATTTGCTGAGTATTACTCGGTTCCTGAAGTAAAATCTGGGAACGGAGCCTTCTAGTTTGGCAATATCAAACTTTTTTTGTCTATTAATTTATAAGCCGTCTAGCTCAGTCATGGAATCCCTCTAGAAGAGTGCATATATTTGTATAACGAAGTAGTAGCGATATAATGACTCCTTTTTGCACCGTCTGGTCCATCTCACTATCTGAATACGCTCCGTGATGTACGTCCGTGGGTAGTCTAAGGTTTTATTGTATACACTGAAAAGGTCTAAAAAGCAAGCCCTTTGTCCGGAGTAGATGGTGTTGTGGTGCAAGCTGGGTCCACAGATATTACTGGCGATTACAGCAAAGTTGGCGCAGTTAACATTGAGGATGTCATTGATATATCAAAAGAGATGAAGATGAGTACTAGGATTTTTATGAAGAAACCGATACTCCACGACCGATAATGTAAGACCGGCAATATCTGGACTGGCATTATCTCCCATTGATACACCTTGTGTTTGCTTAAAAACGTAACCACTAAATCGTACGTGTGTTTCTTGAAGAATAATTTATCGCCTTGACTTCATCCTTTGTATTAGATATGACATCACCTGTGAATTCGTTAGCACACCAGGTTTGGGTTTTACTTACACCAATATATTCTTTCCCCGCATCGGTGAAGCAGAGGTTTCGCAACAGATGGAAACTCAATTACACTTCTTCACACCGGGTCACCAGAACGATCATGATAGTCCTGAGGCAGGAAAGTGGTGGTTTCCGTTCCTACAGATTCATATTACAGGTTGTTTATTCTACCGTATAACAGCGCTATTTTTGCTGATCAATTGCTGGCACTCAGTCGAAGATGCGATGATAAAACAAAAATTCGAACTGAGGTAACATTGCTAGTTCAGCAAGAGGGAGGTGAATGGGAAGAAAGACGAAAGGTGGGGGATGCGTGCGAGAAACCGTCGAGTGCTAGAAGAAATGCTGCAGGTGGTAAAGAATTTAGCAAACAAGATAAGGACGGTGCAGAAAGGATGAAAGTTTTAGGATTTGGAATTTGATGCGGACGAACTGACGAGGCAGGATGTGATCTGCGGATTAACCTACGCAAAGCCAGCTTCAACAGTTTCAAGTGATTCCACTGGTAAAGTGGCCGAGTCAGCTATGATCAGGTATCGTTGCTTTTCAGCCTCTGCCTGTCGCGAAATTTCTGCTAACATTTTTGACAATCAGGCGGTGAATTTGCACAACGATGAAGTTGTGCTCTTGCCTTCTAGTCTAAACAGGGAATGCCCGTGGTCTGAGCGACAACACTGAAAAATTAAACCTACATATGTTCCGACCATACTGCACATCCGCATATGTTTTACTTAGTATTCTTTTCAATTTCCAGAGATATGGCTTCCGCAGCTGATGCTGTGACAAAAATATACGTATGCGCAACGATGTGGCATGAGACGGCAGTTGAGATGACGTGCATGCTGAAGAGTATATTCCGTTTGGATGAGGATCAGTGCGCCAGAAGAAATGCACAGAAATATCTCAAAGTATGAGCTTCCTTTGTCCTCGTAGTTA